CTGCCGGCCCTCCCCCCCCCCCCCTCCGCGCCCCCCGAGTCCCCCGAGCGCCACCATGAACTCGCTCTTCAAGAAGAGAAACAAAGGCAAATACAGCCCCACGGTGCAGACTCGGAGGTGAGGGGGCGCCCCCCCGCCGCTCTCCGCACGCCTTCGCGGAGTCCTCGCGCTGGGGGGCGCTCTGGGTCGGGAAGATACTGGCCCGGCCCGCGAGGGCTGCAGGGCGCGGAGACCTGAGCCCCCGGGGGACGCGCTGGGACGCTGCGCCGAAACCACCTTGGAGCTGGAAAGTACCGCCCACGTTGGGATGGGGCTGGCCGACTCCCGAGGGGCTGGTGTGTGGTCCCGCGGGCGCTAGGAGCCCAGGGAGCACTGCCCTGGGGGCACTTCGGTGTCCCAGGGTCGCCTCGGGCCGGGAATTGCCGTGAGGATGCGGGGCGGAGTGTCCGTGGGGCCACAGTGGAGGCAGGAGTGCCTCAGGGGGCCCAGGAAATACAGTCGTGGGGCGCGCGGGGTCTGGGAAGCTGAGCTGAGCGGCGGGGCCCTCACTAGCGCAGCTTGGGAGTGCTCAGGTGCTCCTGGCAGCGGGGAGGCGGGGGTGGATCTATAGGGGGGACGGTTCACCTGGTCCACCTGCCGGAGCGCTTCCTGGCACCTGCCACTCTCCAGAGCCACCCTCCAGAGCCACGCCCAGAGGCATTGGTGGGTGCGAGGTCGGGCGGAAGGCGTGGCTGAGGCCCCCCCTTCCCACTGTGGGCAGCACCACCGGTTCTGCGTGGTGGCCTCTGTGCGGTGGCTGGGGCGGCGCTGAGGCCTCCTCGAAGCGCGATTTCTCAGGGGTGTGGCTCCCTCACACCCCACCGCCCCTCCCCCAGCCCCGAAACTGGCGGCGTCTGGAGCCGCGGGTTCCCAGGGCGCCTGGGAAAGGAATGACATGCCTGGATGTGTTGGGTTTAGAGTGGCCCACGTCTGCTTTGATAAGCCTAATGCAGTCGTTTAATAACCGGTTTGGGGGAGCCCCTAGGAGATGCTGAGATTGAGGGGAAGGGCCCTCCTAGCATTCCTCTAGGGAAAAGGGGTGGGGGCTTTAGGCAGGTGGGGCCTAGGCAAATTGCACAGCCCACCTGATAGTTTACACCCTGTGGCGCCCCACTGGGCTCTCCGCTGTACTCTTCCCAGCTCCTCACTGGTCCCCAGGGCCCAGGCAGAGGCAGGGAGAGGCCTCTGGGCCCCGGGGCCGGCCCTCCCCTGCCGTCCAGCCCCGGCTGACCTGGCTGACGGGCACAGGTGGCCTGGCACTGGTGCCCGGTGTGGGCCCTCCATTCCCTTGAGCCCCAGCTTTCAGCAGCCCCACTGCGGCCCCACCGCCCATCTCTCCCTGGGTGTTTTGAGCTCAGAGGCATTTCTTCCCACCCCTGCTTGTCTTTCACAACCCACTGGGCAGGGCCCTGCGCACTGTTCCTTGTGGTGGTTCCAGCTGGCTCCCTGACCCAGCTGGGGTCCCCGCCAGTCCCTGCACTGTTCTCCTGGGCATTGCACAATCGGACGCTCCGTGCCAGCCACGGACCAAGACGCAGGCCCCTCACGCTCACACGCGCAGACACCCACACACCGGGCGAGGGGCCAGGCCGCACCCTGACTCTGCCTCCCCAGCCCACCTCCCTCCCTCCTGCTCTTGGAGGCTAGGAACCAGCAGAGGGTCGTGCTGAACCCTGACAGGCTGGAGGGTGAAGGCGTCCCATCCATACACTGCAGGACACAGGGCACTGTCCCCTCCCCCCCCATACTCCTGGCCAGAGGCAGCCCTTGACTGACAGCCGCTGGTCCCAGGTCTCCTCTCTGAGGACTTTTTCCAGGAAGTCTTCCTGACTTTCCCCAGGACAGGGTGAAACACCTTTTGGGCTCCTGTGGCCTTGCTGTTGCCCAGAACTAAGGATGATACAGGCATGCCCTGGTCTCCCAGCCCAGTGCAACCTCCCCCTTGGTGGGGACTAGTTTGTGGACCCGGCTGAGGGGTGGGTGCAGCCCTGTGCCCCACTGTTTTCCAGGTGTCTCGGTGCGTTCCCTGGTGCCCGGAGAGCCCGTAAGTGTCCCGGTCATCTCTAAGCTGTGGTCGCTGCACACAAGGAGCTGACCCCCCGAGTTTTCCTTTCACTCTGAGTTTTCTAGGTCCCGCCCTGTTGTCTGGGGAGGATGGGGTTGCCAGTGAGATTGGCATGGGAAGAGGGTTGGCGCTTCAGTCCCCGGAGCGGAATGTCTTGCTTTGACCCTTCCTTCACCCCATCCACGAGGCCTCTTGGAGCCTCGCCTTTCCCATCTGCAAAGCGGGGTGACAGGTACGCCCTGCACAGTTTGCTGGGCGTGGTGGTGCCGGCACACAGGAAGGGCCCAGGAGGGGGAGTGTCTCTGCCAGGCCCAGGGCCCCTTGCTCCTAGGCAGCAGGGCTCTGGGCTGCCTCGGCCGGCTAGGAGAGGCTGAGCCGTGCTCCTCATTGGCCAATCTTCAGCAGCTGGAACGGGGAGGCCGGCCAGGGCTGAGCTGCTGCCCCAGTTGCCCTGGTTCCTAATGACAGGTGTGGAAGCTGCAGTTCACACCTGAGCTAATGACAGGATCGGGCCTCTGGTGCGGTCACCAGGGACAGTGTCCAGCCCCACCCCAGGGAGGCCCTGCCAGGACCTGCTCCCTCCCTCCTGGCTCTGCAACCTTGGGGGAGCTGCGTGGCTTCTCTGCCACTCTCTTCTCCCTGTAGAATGGGACGGGTGCGACCTGGTGAGGTTGGCTCCAGAGAAATTGAGAAAAATAGAAGGCTCCAGTTCTTGGCAGTTGCAGTGATAGTAATTATTGAACGAATGTGGATAAGGTGCCTACTGTGTGCTGGGATGGTGCTGGATACCCTGAGAGCGTGCACTCCGTAACTCTGGGGGCACCTTCCAGGGGATGGGGTAGATGTGGAGGAGACCTTGACAACTGCTCTGGTCGGAGAGGTGAGATGGAGTTCGGCTTGAAGCCAGGCCTGGTTACATGGCAGAATGATGGAGCCAGGTAGGGTGAGGGGACACGGCTGTACAGACCAGTCTCTAGTCCAACTGCCCTGGTGCTTGGGGACCAGTCCGAAGGAGAGCTGTCAGGATCAGAGTGGAGATCAGGGAGGACCTACTGGGGAAGGTGTCTGACCTGTCATGGCGTGGAGTGGAGTGATCAGGGTCCAGCTTTGAAGTCAGACTGAGTTCTGCCTCTATTGGAGTTAGGGAAAGCAACGGCTTTGCTGAAACAAGCAACATTCCCCATCTGTAAAATGGGATTAATTAGGGGACCAGCAGATAGCATAACGACTATGTCGCTGGACTCCCATGTAGTCGACCACAGTTCGAATCTCAGCCCTGGTGGCTATCGGGCACATGTGCATGCGTGCCCAAGATCCCAAGAGGAGAATGGAGGAAAAGAGATTGCGGGGTGGCCATCCCCCCTAGGGGGTGACTTCTCACTTTCTGTATCTATGTGTCTTTCTGGCAAGCGCATGCACCCTATAGCAAAAACCTCTCCAAAAAAAAAAAAAAAAGGGATTAATTTTGCCCCTCCGCCCAGACCTGGGTTCCAGTGAACTCCCAGCCACCTGACCTCACCTCGCATGCAATAATGACCCAGCCCTTGTGGGGATCCTGCGTGGGAGGGGGAGTCCAGGGCTCTGGGAGGGAGCCTGGAAAAGGGAACATACCCTACTGGAAACCGTCCAGGGTACCCTGGGCCTCTGAGTGGTTAAGAGCACAGGGTTCGATGTCAGCCAGGCATGAGTTCAAGCCCCAGCTCTGCCACTCCTAGGCTGTGTGACCTAGGGAGGCCACTCAATGTCTCTGAGCCTGTTTCTTCATCTGCGAGATGGGAGCAGTAATAGCAACTGCAGACAGTGAGTGGCTGGGCAGGTCAAGTGAGATCTTGCACGTGCTGGGCCGGCCTGGACCGTGCGCAGTGCGTGCTGGGGGGCTCCCAGCATCAGTATCAGTAATCCGGGGCCACTGTGCAGACAAATGGCAGTGCTGAGCCCAAGCTGACCAGGCAGCTGACTCAAGCAGACACCCGATCGGTGGTAGAGCTGGAACGCCTGAGCGATTCGAGGAGGGCCCAGTCAGCACCCCCACTCACCCCTACCTCCGGGTGACCTGGCTGGGAGCGAGCCGCCCAGTTGTGCTCAAGGCCCCTGTGCCCCGCATGGCCCGGGCTGTCCAGCACATCACCAGGCAGGAGCCCAGCAGGGGCCAGGTGCTGTCCTTTCTCGGAGAGTGACACCGAGGCCAAGAGAGCTCACAATGGCCAGCTGGGGCCAGCAGTCCAGGAAACAAGGTCTCGCCCCGGGAGAGGTGTGCGGCCGAGGACAGCTGTCTCCAGGGCCTGCCCCAGCCAGGTGCTGGAGTCACTGGCGTCATGCTCAAGAGCCCACTGTCAGCAACCCCTCTGCCTCTCCTTCTGCCTCTCCCCTCTTGGCCATCCCCCCTCGGCCGCCCTCCTCGAGCTCTCCCTTCGCCCTATTCTCCCCTTGGTCTCACCCAGTTTCCTCCAGCCAGAGGACTGAGACCTGATAAAAAGGATTCAGGACTGAGCTGAGCCTGATCTGTAGGCGTGGCTGAAATCGTGGGGTGATCGCTTAGGGACAGGGAGTTTGGAGGTGTGTGTGGCTCGTCTCACACCACTTAGGCAGCACCCTGAGGTGGAGAGGCATCAGAGGGCCGGGGAGAACCTGCCCGAGGTCATTTCCAAGGCTATTTCCAAGGCTCTTTCCAAGGCTTTTTGTCAAGGGAGGACCGGAACTCAGGGGAACTCGGCTTGCGGCCCCTCTCAGCCCCCTGCAGGCAGTTCAGGGCCTCACTGGTGCCACCTGCCAGCCTCCTGCCATGGCCTGCCTCGGGAGTGCGCAAAGGGACTTGTTCTCTCTGCTTTGGGCAGGGTCACCTGTGTTGCAGTCATCTGAACTGGGCCTGCTGTCCCTTTCTGCCTCTGGGCCAGATGATCCTGTCTTTGGGTCCCAGCCCTGTCCTTTCCCCTTTCACTGGGTCCCCACATCTGCCTGCCTCGAGGACTGCAGCCCAGCAGGGCCACCAGCAGCCCTTGGCTGGACACTTGCA